TGCTGAATGAAAGAAGGCAGGCTCTTAGAGGAAAAAGGAACAAGTAGTACACTACATTAATAGAACAAAATGGGAAAAATACGTGATCACTGCAATTGATTTGACAAAAGCCAACACCCTTTCATGGTAGAAACACTCAGGAAACTATGGGTAGAAGGGAACTTCTTTAACATAATGAAGGACATTTATGAAGAACCCACAGCCAACATCATACTCAATAGGGAAAGACAAAGCTTTTCCTCTAAGACCAGGAATAAGACAAGGATACCTGCTTTCACTGCTGCTAGAAATAAAAGGCATTTGAATTGGAAAGAAAGAAGTAGCACTATCTCTATTCATACATGATATGATCCTGTATACAGAAAACCCCAAAGGGTTCACAAGAACCCTACTAGAGCTAATAAATTCAGGAAAGCTGCAAGGCACTAGATCAGCAATCAAAACGTTAATATTCCTACGCACCTGCAATGAACGGTCCGAAAAGGAAGTTCAGAAAGCACTTCCATTTAAAATAACATGTGGAACTGGGGCGCCTGGCTGGTTTAGTCAGCAGAGCATGCGACTCTCGATCTCAGGGTCATGAGTTTGAGCCCCACATCGGGTTGTAGACTTTACCTTAAAAAAAAAAAAATCTAACAGAATAAATAGGGATAAATTTAACGAAGGAAGTGATATACCTGTACACTGAAAACCACAAAACACTACTAAAAGAAATTAAGACCTAAATAAGTGGAAGGATATCTTTTGTTCATGGATAGGGATGCTTAATTTTAAGATGTCAACACTAGACAAAGTGATCTACAGATTCAGTGCAATCCCTATTAAAATTCCAGCAGTCTTTTTCGCTGAAATGGAAAAGTCAATCCTCGAATATGGAATTGCAAGGAGCCCCAAATAGCCAAAATATTCTTGAAAAGGAACAAAGTTAAGAGGGCACACATTGGGGGCGCCTGGGTGGCTCAGTTGGTTAAGCGACTGCCTTCGGCTCAGGTCATGATCCTGGAGTCCC